AAACACAAACAAAAACACAAAAACAAACGCAACCACAAACACAAAGAGAATACAAACGCAAAGAAAAAAAAAGCAAACGAAAACAAACCCAAATCCAAACGCAAAACACAACCACAAACGCAAACCCAAACTCAAACACACAAAAAAACCACAAACGCAAAGATAAACTCAAAGTGTCCCACAGTCTAGCCTGGGGCGCCAAATCGCACCATGACGACGTGCGGCGTAACCGCCCTGATTCAACTTAGTAAACGACTATAGTACCCAACTTATTCATAGTCTTTTAAACTCACGCGAACGTAGGTACCATAGCGTACACAGGAAGGCCCGGGGCGCCAAATAGCACCCTGTCGGGGGTGCCGGAGGACGCCCGGATTTGATTCACTTAAAGACAATAGTAACCGTTCTTATCCATAGTCTATCGCACTCTTTAAAACGAAATTATGCAGCATAGCGCTCACGTGATAGCCCAGGGCGCCAAATCGAACCGTGCAGGGGACGCGCCTGTTTCAATTTAGTGAACAAAATTATAATACTCCAAGCTTATCCGTAAATGGAAAGAAAATAAACATTTAGGATTTGTAGGACCTGGCTTATTAAATGTTATTGATTTTAAAAATAATTAGTAAACAGTATGTTCAGTGTTTAGAATAAATAAAAGGCAGCATTAACAATATCAACGACATTGCACTTAATCAATCCCCGCTAATTATGTTATTTTGTTTTCTTAACACCAAAACAAAGTAATAAAAAGTAAATTCTTTCTTCCCCCAATTTAATGGGTTTTTAAAGGGAAGTAACTGTGTTTTCCAAATCAAGGGACGTTATGAAAACTAAAGGACAAAATGCAAATATATTTCAGACTTAATTTTAGAAATTTTATAAACGTTGATACACTTTTTTTAAATTTTATGTAATGTTCATAATTGAAAATTATTATTCTAAGTATATAAAATGAAAATTGTTTTTAAAGACTTTCAATAGTAATTTTTTAACTCATAAATTTAGACCATGAGCACTATAATAATCTAACACTTAAATCCATCGAAGTATCCACGACAAACATTTTACAAATGCACTTTTTACAAACAAACATACAGAATTGAACTTTATGTATTAGATTCCTTTGAAATCCTCGATTTCAAACATACAAACATACATAATTGAGCTTTATATATTAGATACAGAGCCGGCGTTTGGGGGTGGCGAACGGGGCGGCCGCCCCAGGCCCCGCGCCTGAAGGGGCCCCGCGCTTCAGCACCGTCACTGTTTATCTGAATTCGTTTGTAAACCTAAATAATTGTTGCTGAATTCACTTGGGAAAAACTATATGGTCGAATGCCGACGTTGTTGATTGTTATAACTGAGGCCCCGGTTGATGCTAATGAGTTATCACCTACCTAAACTGGGACAGGCCGTAAAATAGTGTCACACACCTCCCTGTGTGAAGGGTACGGTCGCTTCGCATTTAACCTGAGGTGACTGGAGATGGGTGGACTAGAATTAGCGCCTGACCAGAGCAGGGAGGAAAATTTGGAAACCCAGTAATCAGATACCCTATTGTATGCGGGCCGATGAAGACGTTTTGTAGTGAACAGACTGTAGTAGACAGTTAGTGAAGTCTACTCCTGACTTTCTTGTTGTAGTTGTCGTATATGTAAGCCTACTTGTCTTGGTATAACAAAATTAACATTCAGCGGCGGGCATAGGGGATGGGAGGAGGGCATAGGGGGTGGTGGGGGATCCACGTCAGGTGGGGGGAGGGGCATCAAACAGAGTGATTTATTTTTTTTATTTTTTAGGAAGAAAGTAAAATTGTTATGTTGTGTCATCTTAAAGATTCATCTGTTCCCAAACAGAATTATTAATTTACCGAATTCATTCAAATTGTTATATACAATCGTTTCCAACGAATTGTCCGCGTTTTTGGAGGAATGGGCATCGTTGAAGGGCAGTGATATGGTAGTCATTAAGAAACGCACATTTTTTAATTGTAGGATATCCTTTATAATAGTTAAGACCATAATGATTTTGGTTTTAAAATATTGTATGGATTCTAAACAAGTGTTGAAGTCTATAGGGCCTACTGTTTTGATACCTCGGGCCGAGTTCGCTTTATTGTAACGTTGTCCTGATTTCTCACCAGAGTTTCTTCCAGGCATCTCTTCGGTGGGGGGGGGGGGCGAAGCCCCCCTGAAAGATTTTTAAGATTTTTACCGCCCCCCCCCCCCCTCATAAATAAAGTGTAGCTGGCTGTCACGTCGTTTTCTCCCTAATTATAGTGACGAACCTTCTCTTGTGAGACCGCGTTCATGGCAGGTAATGTAATACGTGGACTCTCTATAAACACAAACCTTCTCCGGTCAGAGATCCAGTAACGTAGTACTCGAACTTGGAACTTTTTTTCTTAGGGTTTGGCAACCCAAGGCATAGATTTAAACACACAATTAACCTTTACCTCACTCCACCAACTGCCACCCACCCCTACTGAGCCTCAGTGATTACATTTGAATATCATTTCTTTTGGAAATCTATAAACATAGAGTGGGTTTTCACGATTCGTAACCAGTGTAAATTCACGAGTCCAAAAGCTATCGTTTTTCTATTTGTTTTAACTTTAATTACTTTTGTTTTGTTGATATTGTAATTTGTCTAAAATTCTGCGCTTACAAAGTTACTAAGTCTACCGCCCCCCCCCCCCCGAAAATTTCAAGTGCCCCCCCCCCCCCCCCGGAGAAAAAAGTCTGGAAGAAACACTGCGTCTGACACAGTGAATGAATACAAAACAGAGGCGTAGCGACCCTTTCCGGCGCCCGGGGACAAGCCTTTGATTTGACACTTCCTCAAACTTACGATTTGCACCCCCTCCCGTCAAAATTTCAATTTCCGCCCCGCCCCCTTAAACTTTTGATTTGAAATTCCCCCCGCTCAAACTTTTGATTTGCACCCCCTCAAACTTTTTTCCAACCCACTTTGGCGCCCCCTAAGGTCGGCATCCGGGGACATATGCTCCCCCCCCCTCGCTACGCCTCTCCTATAAAGCCCAGCTTTTCCGCAAACCGAAAGATAGAATAATAATTAGTAAACAGTATAAATAATAGGCAGTATTTAAAATATCCGTGTTTTACCTACCATATATCACTTTATCAATTCAAACATTTTTTTCCAGTACTTTAAATTTTAAAAATTTACAATAGAGTTTCATAACTAAAACCATTGCGCACCTAATGAACGTGAGGACGCGTCTATAATAGTGCGGAATAGTTGATTAAAAATTATAAGTAATAAACAGTACTTTCAGTGAATAAAATAAATAAAAGATTGCCTTTTATCAATCCATGCTAATTATAATTTTCTAACAATAATTTCCTCTTCAACATCCGCATAATTTGCATTCACATTTTGCTAATTATATTATTGCAACACTAATTCCTTCTATGACGACCGTATATTTGCATTCACATTTTTTATTAGCGTGAGTTAATTTTTTTTTAAATTACCTCCTTTGTCAAAATTAGAAATAAAAGTTAAATTAATTTGATTTTTCTACCGTACTGTTATTATGTTAGTAAAATGTATCCACTTTTTCTAGGAATATTAACGAAAACGATGTTTGACATTGATCCTTTTAATATGTTTTTGCAGTGTGCGTGTATTTAATATTCTCTTTACGTTATGCAAAATTGTACAAACAGCGGAAATTATAAAATAGCTTTATGTCGTTATATAAGCAAACCCTACTCTAATACTTATAATGAGACATTGCGATGCACTGCAAAGCACTTCATGGTGCGTTGTTTACTTTTATGGTTCCAAAATCTATAGCGATGACGGAAGGAAGGAAGGAAGGAAGGACTGACACACTACTTGCCCGCTTATATTATATATATATATATATATATATATATATATATATATATATATATATATATATATATATATATATATATATATATATATATATATATATATATATATATATATATATATATGAGAAAATATATGTATGAAATATATTGAAAGTTATGAATAGTCTCCATCTATATAGATAATCGACGCTTTAGTATCTGAAAATGAAAGACCCTTTAACCATTAGACCAGCCCACATGAAGCCCATGAAACCATTAGACCAGCCCACATGAAGCCCATGAAACCATTGGACCAGCCCACATGAAGCCCATGAAACCATTAGACCAGCCCACATGAAGCCCCTTTAACCATTAGACCAGCCCACATGAAGCCCCTTTAACCATTAGACCAGCCCACATGAAGCCCCTTTAACCATTAGCTCAGCCCACATGAAGCCCCTTTAACCATTAGACCAGCCCACATGAAGCCCCTTTAACCATTAGACCAGCCGACATGAAGCCCATATAACCATTAGACCAGCCCACATGAAGCCCATATAACCATTAGACCAGCCCACATGAAGCCCATATAACCATTAGACCAGCCCACATGAAGCCCATATAACCATTAGACCAGCCCACATGAAGCCCATATAACCATTAGACCAGCCCACATGAAGCCCATATAACCATTAGACCAGCCCACATGAAGCCCATAAAACCATTATACCAGCCCACATGAAACCCATGAAACCATTAGACCAGCCCACATGAAGCCCATGAAACCATTAGACCAGCCCACATGAAGCCCATGAAACCATTATACCAGCCCACATGAAACCCATGAAACCATTAGACCAGCCCACATGAAGCCCATAAAACCATTAGACCAGCCCACATGAAGCCCATAAAACCATTATACCAGCCCACATGAAACCCATGAAACCATTAGACCAGCCCACATGAAGCCCATGAAACCATTAGACCAGCCCACATGAAGCCCATGAAACCATTAGACCAGCCCACATGAAGCCCATTTAACCATTAGACCAGCCCACATGAAGCCCATTTAACTATTAGACCAGCCCACACGAAGCCCATGAAACCATTAAACCAGCCCGCCAAAAACTCGATTTGTTACAAAGCGCCAACTGATCGAAACAAATCGAACCCAATCACCCGCTGTGTTCGATCTTGCTCTACCTGGCCCTATGAAGGCCGCCATTGTTGTCCTATTGACTGGGGATTAAGCGAACTACCAGCAGACGACTTGTGTTTGTGTAGGGATTAGCTCAAGCCCACAGCTACAAATCCTGGGTCAGTTGGGTCCTAGGTCACATACACTTATGGTACACAATCAAACTACACGTCATGTGCTACAGGTCAGTTTGAGAATATAAAATTACCTGATGTGTTTTACCTGATACTTTATGTTACCTGATGTGTTTTACCTGTTACTTTATGTTACCTGATGTGTTTTATCTGTTACTTTATGTTACCTGATGTGTTTTACCTGTTACTTTATGTTACCTGATGTGTTTTACCTGTTACTTTATGTTACCTGATGTGTTTTACCTGTTACTTTATGTTACCTGATGTGTTTTATCTGTTACTTTATGTTACCTGATGTGTTTTACCTGTTACTTTATGTTACCTGATGTGTTTTACCTGTTACTTTATGTTACCTGATGTGTTTTACATGTTCCCTGACGTTATACCGTGTTCAAGTAATAAGGTCAGTAAAAAGATTTTTTGACGCAATTTCACGTTTTGTCTTTTTAACTAACGCCCATTGCACAAATCAATAGTTGTCATTTGTGTGGTATGTGTATAGTTTGTGCTTGTCGTTTGTGTAGTGTATGTAAGTGTGTATGTATGTGTGTATGTAAGTATGTATATACGTGTGTGTATGTGTGTGCTACTGTGTGCTACTGTGTGCCTCTGTCAGCTAAGTTTATGTATCACCACTGACCAGGAACTCGGATCAAACTTAAAACTTTTGTTTGACAAAATATTTGCTCTATACGAGCTCTTTAAATACTTGGTTTCCTCAAATCAAGTTTTTACCTTTAAATGGTGAATCGAACTTTTGCAAACATCGATTTATTGATTTCTATGTTAGTGGTTTGCAGTCAACACATTTGTGTTTTTGTCACCACACAACTAACTTTCCACCACACAAACTTCTCCCCACACAAACTGTCACCACACAAACTGTCACCACACAAACTACCACCACACAAACTGTCACCACACAAACTGTCACCACACAAACTACCACCACACAAACTACCACCACACAAACTTCTCCCCACACAAACTACCACCACACAAACTTCTCCCCACACAAACTGTCACCACACAAACTTCTCCCCACACAAACTTCTCCCCACACAAACTGTCACCACACAAACGTGTCGATACACAAACGTTTCCCAACAAATTAGTTTTATTATCTTATTTTCAGTGCATTTAAAAGATTTTTATTAGAATACTAGACTTCGCCCTCATCCCTTGGATAACTGTGGGTTTCGGGGGTCATCCATAAAAAGACATCTCGTCTGTCACTTATCGTCACAAAAAAAACAGACCCCACATTCAAAAAGACGTATTTTATATTTTAAAAACACCGATTTCGGCAGGGCATGGGTCTGACCACACTATGCCTTCATATACTGACGTCACAGGTGACCTACTCAACTCTACTTCACCTGCCTAGTGTCCCGCCAAGTCTCAGACAACATGTTTTTATCGTTTTAAAAAACGATTCCGTCCGAGCATGTCTCTGACCACACTATCCCTTCATATGCAAAGAAACAAGTGAACTCTACTTGACCTGCCCTGTGTCCCGCGAAGTCCTGATAGTCAACTTCTTCATTCACGTTTAAAAAACAAAAATTGAAAAAAAAATTACTTTGTCATGATGTGTTCGAACCCGTTCCATCCGTACAATAGCCATTCCACTATCACCTTAACTATAGCGGCCCTGACTAACCAATGTAGAATCAGTCCTATAATGTACTGCAAAGTAAGAAACCAGTTACGCGAATAGGTCCTAATATTTTAAATTTAATTAGGGGCCTAGATCCATATCCCAAATTAGCCAATTCCATAGCTAAAGAAACAAAGATTTATATAAAATAATTAAAGCCTGAAATAATTTAGTATATAGAATAGATTCTAGTTCTAGGTTCTAGATGTAGAATTTACGTTGAGTCTGGATTCTAGTTTTTGCCGTAACTTTATCTAGATCTAGATCTAGATCTAGAACCTAGATAGATTATCATTGAAGCTAAAAACAAAGATTTATAAAAAATAATTAAGGCCTGAAATAGATTCTAGATGTAGAATTTACATTAAGTCTAGCTCTTGAATTTACGTTAAGTCTACTGACCTAGATCTAGATCTAGATTCATAACTTTTTCTTCCTTCGACAGTTGATCTGTAGATCTAGAGAAATTTATTGTAAAACTAAATGAAAAAGACAGTTGAAAATTGATATAAGTGTTGGAACGTAATAAAAACAGCAAACGGACGTATTGTTAAAGTTATAGCCGACAGAAAATTAGCTTTTTAACGAGTTAAAGATCTGAATAGGCCACGAAATATTGTATTAAAGCCGAAATTTATTGTACTAAAAAGTAAACAAATCATGTGACGTCACTATTCAGTCAAAGAAAAGCCATTGTTTGAAACTTTTAAAATTAATGTGGTTGATCTCCAATAAATTTATTAACGTCTTTAAATAAATTTGTGATTAACAGTCTGTCTGAAAACAAAAATTGTTCTCTACCTACATACTATTTTACAGCTCTACACATAGTGCAGATTCTCTCCAGTAGCCAATTAGACAAATAAACAAACAAATAAATATTCAAACATGTAAACAAACTTGAGTTTTAGTAGTATTTAGATTATATATATATATATATATATATATATATATATATATATATATATATATATATATATATATATATATATATATATTAGCCGTCCCGGCTAAGTCCTATCTGTAAAGGAACTTCTCTTGTGTGTTTATTAAGTAGCATATACCAAGCATTGCCCAGATTAAGGAAAACATAAACGCAAACACAAATGCAATAAAATACTTTAAAAAAAACTTTTTAAAAAACCACGTTTTTCTTGTGGACTAAAAAGTAGAAAATAAATTTTTCTTTTGTGCTTCCTCGAGCTGTGCAGATTCTTGTGATGACTGACAAAAAACGTGGGTACGTTCACCATCAAATTTCCCGACCCATCTGCCCGACCCACGTTTTTTGTCAGTCATCACAAGAATCTGCACAGCTCGAGGAAGCACAAAAGAAAAATGTATTTTCTACTTTTTAGTCCACAAGAAAAACGTGTTTTTTTTTAAAGTTTTTTTTAAGTATTTTATTTTCTCCTTTTTAGTCCGTTGCTACACATGAAAAACGTGGTTTTTTAAACAGTTTTTTATATAGTTTATTTTCTACTTTATCTAATGACTTGATTAAATATGACTTGACTAAGTGTTTATAAATACACGGACTAAAAATCTTGAGCGACCAGGATTCGAACCTGGGTTGTCGCGGCCACAACGCGAAGTACTAACCACTATACGATCACGGCCAGCGCGCTCACATCGATTGGGGCCGAAGTAACTGTGTCAATAGGCCTCCAGTCTTGTCGGTATCTTTAGAAATCATGTCCTCAATTTTATGGTCCTTGGGGCGTAATTAAATTAAGCTAATTACGGTCTCTAATTGCTAGTTTTTATGATTGCATCTGAAATTGTTAGGCGAAATTAGCCTGCATGCCAAATTTCAGATCTCTAGAGCAATCAGAAGTGGGCTAATTTTCGATGTCAATTTTAACAACAAACAAATCCACAAACGCGAAGCTGAGTTAAGAAAAACGTGTTAAAAATAACACAAACACAAAAGCAAACACAAACGCACACAGAAACGCAAATGTAAGCGCAAACACGCACGCAAACATAAAAGTAAACACAAACAAAAACAAAAACGCAAACACAATCATAAATGGAAAAGTAACGCAAATACAAACTCAAACGCAAACACGCACGCAAACACAAAGGGAAAGAAACCAAAACTCAAACACAAGCATCAAAACAAACTTTTTAAAAGTATTTAATTGTTGTCATATATGTAATTGGACATAATTTGTATATTTTCTTCAAACAAATTCGAATTTTTGTAAAGGGTAACAGATTTAGTTTAAATTTATTCTTTTCGACTAATTTTAATCGAAATGATAAGTTGAAACATGAATATTTAGTTTAAAAATTAATAATATTGTGATTTTGAATAATCTGTCTAGCTTTTAGTACAAAAATGAAAACTTTAAGAATATTACACTACGGCGATCAAGTCGAGTTTTTTTCTCTATGTACATGTTGCACAATTCCGCAACAGAGTTCATCTATATATTAGAAGATAAAAGTTTCAACCTAGGGCCCGGATTTAGCCCACCCCTGCTCGTCTGACGTGGTGTGACGTCACCAATAGATCCAGTGATTGATCTAAGTGTACTTTTGGGGAAAAGATAAGGCGAGCAGGTGTATACGGTTGTGTACAGGGCTGTCTTCCTGCTGCTTCATTTGATCTCAGGTATACAGGTCTGTCTTTGTGCTGCTTCATCTGATGTCAGGTATACACGACTGTCTTTGTGCTGCTTCATTTGATCTCAGGTATACAGGGCTGTCTTTGTGCTGCTTCATTTGATCTCAGGTATACACGACTGTCTTTGTGCTGCTTCATTTGATCTCAGGTATACACGACTGTCTTTGTGCTGCTTCGTCTGATCCCGATTCTCAGAGGGGCGTTGTCTGCAGGGGGCTGGCACCCGCTGACATAAATTTGATTTTATTTTACACACACGACTTCCTAGATACGCCACAACACTGCTTAGCCCAACACCACCCCACACACACCTCAGCAAGTGTTATATATACGTTACAGTGTGCACGATAAACATAAATGATAAGACTAGACACACGTTGAATAAGATACCATTTCTACTGATTCCTTATCTAGGTCACGCTTGATCTACAGGTAAAGATATCTGTCTGACTACCGAAAGTCGACGAAATCTACTTGACCACCGAAAGCTGAACCATCCTAAAAACGAGATCTGAAGCATTCCGTGACGTCATGTTACCTAGATAAGCCGAGCGACCAGGTGAAACAATTCCAGACTTTCTGATTAATGAGAACATGGAACCGTCTGCTGGACTTCTGACATCTGATAGGGGTGGAACATCGAACATTGCTACAGGAACATCGACCGTTGCTACAGGAACATCGACCGTTGCTACAGGAACATCGACCGTTGCTACAGGAACATCGACCGTTGCTACAGAAGAATCAACCGTTGATAGAAAAGATTGTAACGATAAAAATCTTGAAGAAGATGAGGACAAGAAGGTAGGTCAGAGGTCAAGTATAAACATAATTATCATTTAAGTTAATCGTTTAGTCAATTCTCTAGCTAAACAACATAACGAATTCTTCAACCTTTTTTTTTCACAAAATGTTTAGCGCATCAAAACACTAGGCATTCTGCCTGGCTTTGCTTGTTTTAGAGAGAGAAAAAAACATTTTTCCTATACATAACCTCGGTTCAGGTTAAATTTCTAGTTCCTGTTGAATGTCAGTTTCCGGTTAAAGTGCTGTTCCGATATTTTTTTACTGTTTTCGTTTAAACTGAGTTTTAAGTTGAGGTTGAGGTATACAAACATACACATACACAAGCTTTTTTTTAAATGCACTTTTTTACTTTCTCGTATATACGAAGTATAGAAAAAGTCTTGTAATCGTGCAAAAAAAAAATCGAAATTTTTGCAAATCTCTACGTTCTATACCTCCCTGAGTCGGAAAAACATAATTTTGCAATCTTGTCCGTATGTGTGTATGTGTGTGGCTGTTTTAAGCACGATAACTTGAGTACCGTTACAGCTAGGTTGATGAAATTTCATATATAAGTATTATATCAAAATCGTAGATCCGTATCAACTTTTGAGCGATTTCCTATAACCGGAAGTGGTACTTTTTCTACTTTCAATTTTTCAAAAGCCTATAACTTTAGTACTAATTCAGATAGATAAATGAAATTGCACACGTAACTAAAAGATCTAATTCTCTGTCTTCTGTCAAATTTTAAGTAACTTCCGTTGACAGGAAGTAATAATTTTCGCTATTTCCGATTTCTCAAAAAACGCATTTGAATTTATAAAGTACTAATAATATTCCGCATTATTATACATATTTTGTTTTGCGTTCACTTGGTGTGCAATTCTTTTTTCTACGTAGTGTTATAAAAGAATATTCGAGAAAGTTTAGGGGAGATCAATCCCGGTTTACATTTTTTTAGCATGCAATATGAAAAATGTAAAATAACTTACAAAATCCGATTGCAAATCATATGAGTTGAGTATGTGTCTTGACCTCCGCCGAACCTCTGGGACTGACTCACTGAGCCCTCTGGGTTCGATTGAACCACTTTTCTAGGCAGTAGGAACACACGATTCATCGGCTCTAAAACTGTTTCTAATGTCTTCTGGCCAAAAACACACTTGTAACGACTGCACGCTTATCCCCAACAAAATCTGAATCTAACTGGTATTGTCCTCGTGACATTATAAATTGTACCACGATTGGCTAACCTTTGACACATGACATTGATTTCAAATTTTAGTCCCCCGAGCAGCCTGAATGGTTAACCTCTACTCACGTGACCAGCCAGTTGGAGGAGAGTGACGACGGCGGCGACACGGAGGATGACGATGACGTCACAGAAGAAGAAACAGAGATGTCACGTGAAGAGAAACGGGTGAGTGACGTCATATCCTGTGTTATGTCAACAAATTATCAGCTTCATCCTATTATGTGTCCTTGTAGATGTGTGGACTGGTATGAAATGTGTTTATTAATCTTAAATTTTAATTTAAGCCCTGCTGGGGGGGGGGGGGAGAGAATAACTACACTATATCCCTAGGCTTATCTAATAAACTGTCCGGTCAGTGCAACCGTGGTAAAACCCACGGTGGTTAAATCCTAACCTTAGACTAGATAAAAAACACACACAAAAAACTTTAACAATTTAATAAAATTTATTGTAAAAATAGGAACCAATATTTAATGAAAGAATGTCAAAAAAACAACGTAATCTAGATAAAACAAACCACGACTAAACAAAATCAGACTCAGCAAAACATACAAAATTAAACATCCAAATTAGACAACAGTCCAGGAGTAATCGAAATAACACAAGGTAAAACAAATAGATGGTGCTGTTCCGACTTATGATGTTTCGGATGGTCCATGCTCTGAACACACAACAGCCTCTCGCACCCCTAGACATACAAAAGTCACTCGAAACATCTGCCCGGAACTGACATCCACACACCTTGCAGCCTACACCTCAACAAATAGTCCCTAATTCACAGATTACAACACGCAACGGAACAATGAAACTATTGAAACAATGTGTTGTTGACGGGCGTGTGATTGTTGCAGGAGATGTATCAGGCGGTCAGATGTGGGGACATTGATCTGCTAGAGGACTGCCTGGACAGGCCAAACTCTGACCTCAACATGACCTGGGTAAGTGACTGGACAGGCCGAACTCTGACCTCAACATGACCTGGGTAAGTGACTGGACAGGTCAAACTCTGACCTCAACATGGCAGGCCAAAATCTGACCTCAACATGACCTTGGTAAGTGACTGGACAGGTCAAACTCTGAATGTACAAGACCTTGATTCGCCTTTCTTTCAGTTCCAAGAAAATCTTTTGATGGCAGCCATACGTCACCATCAAAGAGAAATGGCCGAGTTTTTGCTGGACAATGGAATCAACCATGACTACACAACAACTATTGTGGTCAGTTTGTTTTTTACTACCAAAGATTGTAGCTTCTCTTTACCTATGGCTGGTCACGTGGTCAGTGTGCTGACGCTGGTCACGTGATCAGCCAGCAGTGGCCTACAATAAAAGCAGACAGTGGAAAATGTTTTGACCTCTTGTATCAACAGAACCTTCGAGAAACGTCGGCGGGAAAAGTGCTGGACCAATACGAGCTGACCAGTCGCCAGATGGCGTACGACCGCGGCATGGCGGAAGTCGTCGAGCTGATTGACCGTCTGCAGGGTCACGTGTTCCCCTTCGTCCGGCCCTCGCCCCGCACACCTCGCTACCGGCGACCTCGACCTCCCACGCCGTCGCTCAGTGAGACCAGCAGTCAAGGTGCAGACGTGAGCAGCGGGTCAGACGACAGTCTAGCAGGCGGCAGTGTAGCAGGCGGCAGACGTAAGTTGAGAAGAAAGAAAAAACAGAGTCTAGACATGGCCAAACCATTTGATACACAGAATCTAGACATCGCCAAACCATTTGATACACAGAATCTAGACATGGCCAAACCATTTGATACACATAGTATAGACATGGCTAGACGAACTATTAGAAGTAATTCCTCTACACGGCGGACTTTGGATGTAAAGGCAATGGAAGAAAAGACAATGCCGGCAGGCCAAGCCAAATCTCCGCAGAGAAAAAATTGTTCAGTTTTTCTTGCTCCACAAAACAACCTGTTGGCGCGTAAGAAGTGCACCTCCGTCCTACAACCACGGCCACACACAGCCCATACGTCCGTCCTACAACCACAGACAGCCCACACGTCCGTCCTACAACCACGGCCACAGACAGCCCATACGTCCGTCCTACAACCACAGACAGCCCATACGTCCGTCCTACAACCACGGCCACAGACAGCCCATACGTCCGTCCTACAACCACAGACAGCCCATACGTCCGTCCTACAACCACAGACAGCCCATACGTCCGTCGTACAACAACGGTCTGAGACAGCCAAGCTATGGACACAGAACTGGCACCTCAAACGGCAGACACAGACCGTGGGATGCAGGAAAGTGACCGCGCCCGGCAGCTACAGGCGCGAGTGTGCCTTCTGGCATCGCTCACCTGCCCAGTCGGCATTCAACACGCCACGGGTGCGTTCCCCAGATGACGTCAATGACCAATCATCCCGCCCATCGAGGAACGTCACGGACCAACATGCCCGCCCCAAATATGACGTCACAAGCCAGGCTGCCCCACTGCCTATACGAGGTATTCTAAAAAGCCCAACACAGCCCAGACTTGCAGCAGATGTCCCCGCACGGTCCAACAAAAAGAGCACACTTTACCACAGCTACCTCACAACCACCAAGCGAAAACTGGATCCGACATTTTCAAGCTTCTACAGAGCTTTAGATTTCCATGGCAACAAGGCGATCAAACACGTGACCATGTCGCACTCGTCATTCTACGGTCCATAACACCGGATCGATGGCAACAACAAGCCACGCACACGATCCATGGTGACAAGGGCTGGCTATGGGACCACCAGGGCAACTAACAGGGGCAATAGCTTAACGGTAGAAGATACACACTTTTCGATTAAAGTGAAATTTTGCCCTAAAAGTTTTTATTTCTAAATTCGGTGCAAAAACTTTTTAGCTATCTAACCCGACCGTTTCAGACTTCTATAGCCTACGGTTATCCTTTTATTGGGATGTGAAACATGGTACACTGTCAAATTTTCGGTGAACGGAAAAAAAAAGTCAGATTTCGCTAGGAAAAAAGTCACAGAAAAAGTTACAAACGAAAAATTAACAGAAATTAAGTAACAGAAGAAAGTCACAATTGTGTAATAAGAAATATTTTTATTAGCTTGATGAAAATTGTAAAATTTTGGGTGTTTACAAATATGGGTGGTGATTTTTAGAAACATATTTATAAACTGTAAATACGTTATGGTTTTTAATAATAATCCAATTTTCATCTTCACAATAAATAAAAGTACTTTAAAGTAATTTACACAGCAGCCTCAATTTTTGTTACATGTTTATTTGAAAACGTCGAAGGAAAATTAATTATAAAAATACTACTATAAGCATATTGTAGTTTTTTGTGTTTGTTTGGTTTTGTCGTAGGCCTTTCCTCTATTGGCCTTGTCCGCCCACATTGTGTGTTGCAGATGTTTTGCTTCAACGTTAACCTTTGTATCTTCTCGGCGTTTAGGTTTGACACTATGCTTTCTGATGTAATAAGGGCGATAAATGTGGGCAGTAAAGGTGGCTGAACTGTTATTTCGACGAGATGAGCAGTGTTTCTTCCAGACTTTTTTCCCCGGGGGGGGGGGGGGGAGCTCTTAAAATTTTCGAGGGTGGGGGTGGGTGGAATAAATTCCCGAGGGGGAGGTGCGGACACTGTTAAAAGTATATATTTTCTATATAAATTCCATTTCGTCCCCGAATGATGCCTGGAAGAAACTCTGGAGATGAGAACAACCAATCATATTAGTAACTATGTCTTCATCTCATTTCACGTTGATTAAAAGTTTGTAGTCTTGAAAATACGATGAAAAATGAGTAGGTTGGAACATTCTACTCAATTCTATTCTATAACGGAATGAAAAACCTACATACTTTAGACTAAATATGTTTACGTGTGTAACCATACAAAAACAAACTAGGCCTATGCACATATATAAAAATGTTTATATTATGTGTAATTAATTGTATGTTGATTCGCACATTCTGAAAACATAATAGTATAAACAAATTCCATGCACATAAACATTTGTTACCTATTTTCGTGTGACTTTTAAAAATTTATTTAGTTTTCTATTTCGAGAGAAAAGTCATCTATCTATCTAGATTTTATATTCTATATACTACTAAAACTCAAGTTTGTTTACATGTTTGAATATTTATTTGTTTGTTTGTTTTTTTTTGTTTGGCTGATTGACTATTGTACATGGTTGCACTCATCGTGGAGAGCTGTAAAATAGTATGTAGGTAGAGAATATTTTTTTATTGCAGACAGACTGTTAATCACAAATTTATTTAAAGACGTTAATTAATGCATTGATTTATTCATAGGTAGATTAAGCACTTATTTTAAAAAGATTTGAAAAACCACTAGACTTGACGGAAACAGTGACGTCACATGATGTGTTTATTTTTTTACATCAATAATGGGTAAACGGAAAAAAAGTCACAGGAAAAAAAAAACACAGAAAAAAAGTCACAGTTTTTGCTAGGAAAAAAAGTCACAGAAAAAAAGTCACAGTGGAAAAATTTTATCGGAAAAAAACTCACAGAAATAAAGTCACAGAAAAAAAGTCACAAAAATCTTTTTAGAAATATTTTTATTAATTTGTTAAGAATTGTAAAATTTTGTATGTTTATTGTTGTGGGTTGTATTTTTTGATGGCATAAATTATTTATAGACGTTAAAAGCATTATGATTTATAACAATTGTAAGTAAAAATACTCTAAGATAATTTACACAACAATCTCAACTTGTTACGTATTTATTTAAATACGCGGTAGAAAAGTTAATTATAAAAGAAATTTAGGCAAATTTTGCCGTAGGCTATTCTCTAGTCGGCCTCTCCTCAGTAGGCATTGTCCGAACATATTTTGTGTTGTTGACGTTACGCGTCAATGACAGCCTTTGAACCTTGTCGGCTTTCAGTTTTGATCCTAAGTTTTGTTATGTAATGAGCGTGATAAATGTGGGCAGTAAAGGTGGTTGAACTAAACATAACTATTGTTGCCATGAGTTGAGGGCAGCAAGTCAGATGAACTTACCATTTCACGGTAATTTAATATTGGTATTTAAAAAAAAAAACACGATGAAAACCGTGGACTTTGGAGCATTCTATTAAATGCTACTAATCTTAAGTTTAAAATAATTACAATCTACATACTTCATAATAAATATTTTAAGATGAATTATAAAAATTCCTATGCGTATACAGCCTACACACATTACATTACATTTAATTAATCCTAAGTTAATTTGCATTCTCTAAATATTTAATACATAAAAGTATTAACAAATATCATGCAAATATATATTTGTGGGTCGGCGTGGTCGAGTCGGTAAAGCTCATGGTTGCTAAACCGAAAAGTCTCGAGTTCGAACCCTCGGGCAGATGAGGCTCGTTAGCTGGGGACAGCCACTCTTCTAGGAGAGACAACTCCAAAATTAAACAACTGCTGCCTTGTACTTTGTTCTTGGTTGGACAAAGGCTATGGAAGCAAATCCAAAAAGAAAAGCAGGCTGAAATCGGAGTCAATGGCCTCAATGGCGCATAACCATTTGACACGTAACGCTTAATTGTGTTGAAGGCGTGTTCGAGTCGGCAAAAAGCACATGGTTGATAAATTCAAACAAAGTCTCGAGTTCAAACCCACTGGCAGATATATCTCGATCCCCTTCAACTCTTATAATTAAGAACGAAGAAGAAGAAGAAGATGCAAATATATATTTGTGACTTTTTTTCCTGTGACTTTTTTTCCTGTGACTTTTTTTCCTGTGACTTTTTTTCTGTGGTTTTTTTTCCTGTGTTTTTTTTTTCCTGTGACTTTTTTTCCTACAATCCAATAATGGCGGCCTATCGAAGAAGATCGTGTTCCCATTCCAATGTTTAACGCGTTCTAAAGCTAATTTTCTGTCGGCTTTAACTTTAACAATACGTCCGTTTGCTGTATTTATTACGTTCCAACACTTATATCAATTTTCAACAATCTTTTTCATTTAGTTTTACGATAAATTTCTCTAGATCTACAATCTGTCCAAGAAAGTTATTTATAGATCTAGATCTAGATCTGGAATCTAGGTTAAATCAAAGATTTATTAGTTATAAATACAATCCAAAAAAAACGAGACTTAAGCAAACCAGTCGTAGATCTAGAATATAGATAATTCTATCTAGATTTAGATAATAATGAGTTTCTATATACTAAACTATTTTAGACCTTTATTATTTTGTATAAATCTTTGTTTGGAATATGGTAATTTTGAAATGCTGTATCCAGGGCCTATTGGCGTAGCTTAAGATTCATACGCGGCTTCGATGCCGGTAATTTTGCTAAATTATAAACGCAAGTTCTAAATATAGCTCAGTCGTAGATCTAAAATATAGATAATTTTCTATCTAGATTTAGATAATAATGATTTTCTATATACTAAACTATTTTAGACCTTTATTATTTTATATAAATCTTTGTTTGGAATATGGTAATTTTGAAATGCTCGCTCCGGGCCTATTAACGTAGCTAATGATTAGATCTAGATCTAGATTCTAGATCTAGCAAGAAAAACTAATCTTAAGACTTAAGCAAGCGAGTCGTAGAATCTAGATCTAGATAATTCTATCTAGATCTAGATAATTTCAGACCTTCTTTATTTTATATAAATCTTTGTTTGGCTAATTTAAGATAAAATTTGATTTGAAAGTCACTGCTACTAGACTTAGTTCTAGATCTATGCGCGTAAATCAAGTTGCATAAGGAGACTCAAAGTATAGTATAAAATTTCACTTGTGACGTCACGAGTAAATAGCTAAGTTGGTAGTGTAGTCGGCTCTCATGCGGGTGGCACAGGTTCTAGACCAATATGTCAATGATATTTTTTTTCAATTTGTTTTTTAGATGTGAATGATAAAGTTGCCTATCTGAACTTGGCAGGATACATGGCAGGTGAAGTAGAGTTCATCTGTTTCTTTGTCCTAAGCATATGAAAAGATAGTGTGGTCAGAGACATGCTCGGCTGGAAAACTTTTTTTAAACGATAAAAACATGTTGTCTGAGACTTGGCGGGACACTGGGCAAGTGAAGTAGAGTTGAGTATGTTCCTGTGACGTCAGTATATGAAGGGATAGTCCGAAATCGGTGTTTTCGGTGTTTTTAAAAGATAAAAAACATATTTTTGAATGTGGGGTCTGTTTTTTGTGACGATAAGTGACACTGCAGTAGCGTAGCGAGGAGGGGGGGGGGTGGGGGGACATATGTCCCCGGGCGCCGACCTTAGGGGGCGCCAAAATGGGTTGGAAAAATAAATTGAAAGGTTGAGGGGGGTGCAAATCGAAAGTTTGAGGGGGGGGGGTTCAAATCGAAATCTTGAGGTGGGGGGGGTGCACATCAAAAGTTTGGGGGGGGGGTTGCAAATCGAAATCTTGCGGGGGGGGGGGGGGGGTTCAAATTGAAAAGTTTGTCCCCGGGCGCCGGGAAGGGTCGCTATGCCTCTGAGTGACAGACGTGATGTTTTTATATGGATGACCCCCGAAACCCAAAGTTATCCAACGGATGACGGGTAGTCTAGTACAGGTTAAAAAAGACATGAATTTTCAAACCTTTTTGTTGTTGCCGTAGCAACTATTACTGCTTGTAGGCCAGTAGTGACGTTTTACTATTTTTCTTTAATTTAAACACTACTAGCCGTCCCGGCCAGGCACTGCACTGGCCTCTGAGAAAACCATATATCTAAATGACAATGGCGTGTGTTTATTAAGCATCATATACCCGGCATTTTCAAATTAACTCTAACCACAAACAACCAAAACCAAAAAAACATTTATTTGTTTTTAAAGCCGCAAAAATAACGCAAACGCAATAACAAATACAAACACAAACGAAAACACAAACCCAACCACAAACCCTAACCAAAACACAAAGAAAACACAAACTAAAAACGCAAACGAAAACACAAACCCAAACCCAAATCCAAATCCAAACCCAAACACAAAGAAAACAAACGCAATTAATTATTTTTTCCCAACACCAAAACAAAGTAATAAAAGTATTTTTTTCCCCCGATGTAAATAAGTTTTTTAAAGGAAAATAATTGTGTTTTCCTAATTTATCAAGGGACGTGATTAGTGCTAAAGGATTAAATGATAATAATTGTCAGACACAATTAGAATTTTTGTGATACATTTTCTTTAATTTAGTTTAATGCACAAACCGTCAATTAACACTTTAAGTTTGGAAAATTAAATTTGTTTTAAAACACGTTCAATATTATTTATTTTAATCATTAATTTAGAAGTTGAGCACTTTAGATATATCACACTATTGGCGATGAAGTCTATTTTTTTTTGCTCTATTTCCTTGAAATCACGGGTCTGTCTGTC